CCAAGGTCCATCTGACCTCAGTAATGATACCCCTAGCTCCAAGTCCTCTTCGGAATATGGCAGTTTCCTGATGATATTGCAATGTCGCAACCATTTTTGTATTGTTTTAAGCAATATTTTACTTGTATGCGATATTAATGATTTTTTTTGATGATTTCCACTTTCTGTTGGGTCACCTTTCTTTGGAATGGACACAAATATGATATCTTCCCATTAGTTGTCCAGGAAGCTGTCTTCCAAATTTCTTGATATGAATGAGTGAGTGCCTCCAGGGCTGCATCAGTATGTTGAAGGATTTCAAGTTGTGTTTCATTGATTCCTGGAGCCTTGTTTTTCACCAATGCCTTCAGTGCAGGTTAACTTCTTCCTTCAGTACCATCGGTTCTTTATCATATGCTTCCTCTTGAAATGTTTCTTTTTGAAACAGTGACTGTATGTATTCCTTTCATCTTCTTTTGATGCTTTCTGCACCATTCAATATTTTGCCCATGTTGTTGTTGCTAAGTGTTGTCAAATCAGTTCTGACTCATAGTGGCTCGTGAGCTTGAACCATCAACCTTGCAATCCAGCACATTAACCTGCAGCATCACACCAGTATTCCCATGTTGTTGTTATGTGCCATAGAGTCAGTTCCGACCCATAGCGACCCTGTGTAGGGTTTCCGAGGAGCAGCTGGTGAGCGTGAAATGCCAACCTTGCAGTTCAAACGGCTTTGCAGTCTGGCGCATTAACCAACAGCGCCACGCCAGTACTCCCATAGAATCCTTCAAACTTGCAAGTTAAAACTTGAATTTTCTCTTTCATTTTTTTTTCTTTTCCTTGAGAAATGCTAAGCATGTTCTTCCCTTTTCATTTTCTAACTCCAGTTCTTTGCACATCTTAATTATGATACTTTGTCTTCTCAAGCTGCCCTTTGAAATTTTCTGTTCAGTCCTTTTACTTCCTCAGTTCTTCTATTTGCTTTAGCAACTCTACACTGGAGAGCAAATTTCAGTCTCTTCGGGCAACTGTTTTGGTCTTTTCTTTCTTTCCTGTCATTTTAATGGCATTGTGCTTTCTTCTGTATGATGCTTTTAATGTCATCCCACAGCGCTTAGGATCTTCAGTCATTAGTTAGTATCTGTCAAATACATCAAATTTGTCCCTGAGATGGTCTCTAAATTCAGGTGAGATGCATTTAAGGTCATGTTTTCCCTCTCTTGGGCTTGTTTTAATTTTCTTCAGCGTCAGCTGGAACTTGCATATAAGCACTTGATAACCTGTTTCACAATTGCTCCTGGCCTTGTTTTGACTGATGATATTGAGCTTCTCCAAAGTCTCTTCCCACAGATGTAGTCAATTGGTTTCCTGTGTATTCTATCTGGTGAAGTCTATGTGTATAGTAGTTACCTTTTATGTTATTTTTTAAAAAGTGTTTGCTATGAATAATTCTTTGGTCTTGCAAAGTTCTACTATGCAATCTCTAGCATTGTTTCTATCACTAAGGCCATATTTTCCTTCTACTGATCCTTCCTCTTTGTTCCCAACTTTTGCATTCCAATAAAAGGTGTTGTATGCCACACCCTTGAGAAACATCAGATCAGGATGGTGATGTGATCAAGAGTCTTACTGTTAAGTGCCTTCCAATCTGTCCCAACTCATAGCTATCCTGTGTAGGGTTTCCTAGGAGCAGCTGGTGAGTTTGAACTGCCAACCTTGGGGTTCAAACTGACCTTGCAGTCAAATGCTTATCCCACAGTGCCACCTTAAGGATGTTGTTGTTAAGTGCAGTAGAATCGTTTCTGACCCACAGCGATCCGTATAGGGTTTCTGGTAGCGTAGTGGTTATGAATTGGGCTGCTAATCTCACAGTCAGTAGTTCGATACTACCAGCTGTTCCACAGGAGAAAGATGAGGCTTTCACACCCAGTAAAGATTTACAGCCTCGGAAACCCTGTACAGGGTCACTATGAGTCAGAACTGACTCCATGGCACATAACAACAACAACAACAACAACATAGGATTTCTGAGGAGGGACTGGTGGGGTGAACCACCGACCTTGCAGTTCAAACTGACTTTGCAGTCCAGCGTATTACCCTGCAGCACCATAAACCTCTTATTGGTGAATCACATCCTGGGGATTATGACATAACTGCCAAACCACTGAGCATCATGGTCCAGTCAAGCTGACACACATTCTCAGAGAATACATTTAGTCAATGACAGAGGGTCAGATTGGAGGTGTTTCTAGAAAGCAGCAATGTGAGACCAGTTTGGAGATGAAAGCCTAGGAAAAAAGCTAGTACACCTTTCCTAGTGAGAGACAGTGGTAAAGGATGGAACCTGGAAGATGTAAGGAGAATGGAAAGAAAAGAATTCTTTCTGGAAGAAGACGAGGCTTTAGCAGCTTTATGAGAAACAGGGAAGTCAGCAGAGAGAGTAGCTTTTGAAGGGCAGCATGATGAGCTTGTGTTTTTATGAAACGGTAAAGGATGGGTTGCTAGAGTGTGTATTGTCTAGGAGGAAGTGGCAGAAGTGGGGAATCATAAATACTAATAAGAGCCCTGGAGTCCTGGTGTGGCGCTGTGGGAATCAAGCTCTCCAACTGCTCCTCAGAAACACTATACAGGTTCTCTGTGAGTCGGAACCAACTCAACGGCACTTAACAACAGTAATAAGAATCCTGGTGAGGCACTCTGTAGCATAAACACTGGACTGATCAATGTAAGATCGGTAGTTCAAATCCACCAGCTACTCTAGGAAAATTTATACAGGGTCACTATGAGTTGGAACCAACTCAACAGCACACAAAATAATATGAAATACTCATGGTAATTCTAAGAATCTTCCTAAAAACTTCGGAATCAAACAAGCAATAGTCAACTTTTTGTGCAAAAGTCTCCAACTGTGGAGGAATTAATTTCCTTTGAAAGCCAAAGCTTGTTCAACTTAATGAGGTCATAGAGAGATCTGGCGGCACTCTTGGAAATCAAGC